CAATTAAATATAACATTTTTTATTGTGTTAAATTAACATATGTTCTTGATAGTGTATGAAGCTATATTAAAAAAAATTGAGAACAATGAGCAGGTCCAATAGAAATTTTATGGTGCAATTTTATAAAATTAATTTTTAATCAAATTCTTAAATAGTGAATTTGTTAATCTATTTACAAAATGGTTGGATGACTAGAACTTCAAGAACTTTACTAAAGCAGTTTTCTTCATTAAAAATACCCTCCCCACCATCTTAATATTCTTGGCTTGGGAGGGGGGAAAATAACCCTAAAACTTTATGTAAAAAAAAAAAAAATATTTGTCTATTGTTGAGTGGTTTAATTTTTGTATTATAAATACAGTCTTGGTTCATAGCATTAAAATTTCTAATAGATCTGTGCTTGGTTCATAGCATTAAAATTTCTAATAGATCTGTGGATAGTAATAATTCTATAGTGAATAGTGATTTACTAATTACAGCTTATCTGTGGTATTAGGCCAAATTCTATAGTGAATATTTGCATGTTTTGCGTTACTTCAAATTTATGTAGACCATGGATTAGTACAAACTAGCATATTATTGGTTAAATTTATAAGTGAATGTCTTAAGTTGTCTGTTTTAAATCTACTCTTGTTGATTAGTTTCTTGAAATGTGTTATTGACTTTTATTATATCCATATGGACTACTAAACATTTCTTATGTAGTCAAGCTGTTTTTCTTTTGCTCCAAGTTGCAATTATGTCTTTTAACAACATTCTCAATCACAAATTTAAATCCTTTGTTCTTTGTTTTGGCATTTATAATGTAAAAGTAACAATAAACTGTTATTGCTGAAATTAATGTCTATGGCTAAATGGTTGAGCATACCCTTGGGAAAAGTATGCATCCTATCCTTTACACCCCCCCCCATATGGAAAAATAGCAAGACAGACTGGGTTCTATAACCTTGGATGGCAACTGAAAGAAATGGCAACCTACTACAGGGGGAAAAAATCTGCCTCGTCAGTCATGTATCAAAATATACATGATTGCCTAAGTGTGTATCACGCATGGCACATAACTGACTGACAAAACACTACCCCCTTATTTGCTTATCCGGCTGAATGTAAGTACAAAAACTGCTGGATTTGATCAAATTCATGTCATAGTGAAGGGAGGAAGTTTTTTTGTTTTTTTTTAAACCAATGAGTGTATTTACTTTGGTTCCTTATCAGTCTATTACTTGTGTATGAAGCAGCTGACTGATAAAGTCTTAACAGGATACTAAATGGCACATTTTTTTAATTAAAGATAGTGGCTTGTTATTCTGTACTATTAAACACTTGTCTATTATGGGCTCTTTGGAAAATTTTATCAAAAGATCTATTTCTATATTTCCAAGAAATTTAGCACTTAACATCTTTTGTATGATGATTATTGTAATAAAAATGAATACTCTTATAACAGGCATATGTTGCTGCTAGTTAAAATCCTTAAAATGTAATCTGGCAATGTTTGCATTATAGTCTTGTATGCATAAACTAGTCTTAAGTCTTAGTATGTATGGTTTTGTTCATCTATTTAACCAGTTATATCATCGTGAAAACCAAATGAATATCACAACGAACTAGAATGTCCCCATGAAAAATTGTTTGGTTTTTGTAAAATGCAACCATGAAATTAGAGCCAATAGTATATAGTTATATCCTCTTTAGGTAGTAACCTCTACAGAGTCACTAAAAAAGTGAGCATACATGATGAATCTTCAAAATTTATATTAAGAAAAACCATTTGTATTTTTTTTTTTTTTTTTTTTTTTTATAGAATGTTTGAAGTTTTAGTAAAAAGATTTTTTCTTGCATCAGCTGGGGTTAATAAATTAGTATAGGAAATTTTAGCATCTATTTTGTGGTGAAAACCACATTGATTTGGAAATTCTTGCAAAAGTGAAATAATTGTTGAATTTTAATGAAATTTTCAGTACTTATTTACAAATGAATTAAATTATTTTTGGAATTTTTTTTTTTTTTTTTTTTTTTAACCCGACTTAATTTCACAAAATTTCAAGAAATTAAATTACAGTCTCAAAATTTGTTTTATTAGTTAAAAGCAGGGCTTCTTGGAGACTGTAAATCATCAATATTACTTTTTTTTTTTTTTTTTTTTTTTTTTTAACTACTGCTCATTTCACGAAAATCTGCCTAGAGTCATAAAATAAAAGTTGCAATAAATCTGACATTATTTAATTAGAAAACTCTTTTAACTGGTTTTATAAATAAGATTTATTATGAACACTATTTTCTTAAGAAAAAAATCTTTTGTGATATTGAATTTTTATAAGAATTGTTTTCTTTTATATATTTTAATTATAAAAATATATAAATTGTTTAAAGTTCTGCATTACTTCAATTCGGTTAGGTGATATTGTTAAGTGAAAACTATATTTAGTAATCAAAAATTAAAAAGCTTAATGCAAAGTCTTTTGCTTCAAGATTTTCAAAATTTCAAAATTTTTTATATATATATATATATCTCATAATGCTCCCCTGTTTGAAAATATGGTTGACCATACACAACATAATCAGAAAATAAGAGTGATGACTATAGTAAATTTAAATTCAACATTCCTAAAATTAGATTATTAAGAATACTGAGTGCTTAAAATTATATAAAAAAGACACTCACCCATCATACTGGTGGTGCTAAATTCTCCCTCTTCCTTCTCAGCATTCATTCTCGGCCTACTTCTCAGAGCAAGTATAACTGTTTTTGTGACAAATCTAATTTTTAAAGTGTATACGCAAGTGGGGGGGTATTTTAGTCACTAATTTTAATTCTCTTGATTCCTCAAAGAAGAGATAAAATTATTTCTCCATTCCATACTTATCTCTGTCTAGCGAAAATATAAACCAGTCACCAGCTTGTCAATGACAGGACCTGTTTTCATAACTTCAACCCTCAAAAAGGGTTCATTCTTTGTTTAAATTTCCCAATTCGTTTTTGTCCATGAAAATGTAAGCCCTGTCTGTCTCTCTTTTTGTTAATGATATGTATTTTCTTAATTCCTCAAGGAAGTGATAAAATTATTTCTCAATTCCTAGACTAATCTGTTCAGAAAAAATATAAACCAGATTACTGTTGAGAGGACTTGTTTTCATAACTTCTGCCCTATTATATATTTGACCCTCAGGAAAATAGTTTCTCATTTAAATTTCTGAGCAAGAGACAAAATTATTTCCAAATCTGTTTTCATCCGCATTTGAAGTTTCTCTCAATAGATAAAAAATAAACTTTAGGAGAGAAGAGATCCAGGCAGTGCATTCTCTCATGTTGATTGGAGGGAGAGCAAAATAAACTGCACCTTTTTGATATTTTTTTTTTTTTTATATTTGTTCTTGTGTGTATGCATGCATGTGTAAACTGTTGCCATGCAAGACAGTTTTTCCCACAAGAATCTCTTTCACCTTATGAGTCTACCATTTGTCCATGCATTGAGTATTGCTGGTTTGGTGCTTCTATGTATCTAGAGATTCTTGACAAAATCCAAAGAATCTCAAATATTATCAATCTTGACTTCAGTCACTTTCTCACCATTGTCACATATCTTCCATGCCTTTTCTATAAATTATTTTCATGATATTTGTTTTGATG